ATTTCTGTAATCGCCAGACACGTTCAGATGTGAACTCATTGACGCCGAGGATGTGTCAGGCTGAACTCCCATAGGCAAATGTTCTCTAGATCTCCTCTGGGCAAACCCTCGTCGTTCCATCGCCGTTTTGGTTCCAGCGCGCGCGTGAATTAATTCGCGAATGAACCTGGATTGTGAGGTTCCTCTTTCTCCTGTGCGGGGGGTGAAGCTAGAATCGAGAGTGAAACAATGACCAAGGGAGCAGGTGAAACACGAGCGGGTCAAACTCGAGGTCGCGGCCAAGCATGCGTCTGTTCAAGCTGTCGGCTCAGGATTTGAGCCGTTCACCCGACCAAATTTTTGCCCTATACTTCTCGGGAAGCGCATCCACTTGCACAAGGTCGAGTCAGACCATCTATCGGCGTGTGCGAGCGAGATTGCGGAACGTGCACATTCATCCGGCTTGGGACCACATGGGCTGCAAGTCGCGATGTCGGATGGCTTATCGGCAAGTGGTCTGGGTGTACGTTAGTTGGAGTGGGATGCTCAATTAAGAGGCTCTCGCATGGAGCATCCGCGTGCACCCCGCCCCGTGTTGTTCGAGCTTTGCAAAGCAACGGGTTTCGGCGTGGCTTGATCTCGTGAGTATTGCGTTCGTTCGCGCGCGTGGTGTCGTTGACCTGGTGATTATTGCTTTCTCCCTCTCTCTCTCTCTCTCCCAATCTCTCTGCATGTCTCTCTCGCTCTCTATCTCTGCTTTGCGTGGCCCCTCTCTGCTTGCGTTCCCGAGCATCCATCGTACGCTGCAACCTTCATGGATTGAGGGTGTCGGACGTGTCAAGCAGCCAAGTTCAGCGCGGTGTACGGCCAGTGCGAGGTGGACCCACATGGTGCAGAGCTTCAAGTTTGTAATTTGCTTCGGCACGCCTCCAGGCCACAACATGTTTCTGCTTGCGCCAATGCCATTGGATTGGATTGCCCGCGCCATCACAAACGCCCAGGCTGAATCGAGCTGATTTCGACACAGTGCTAGAGCTGCGCCGCCAAGGCGGATCCTTCCGGCAAGTAGAGCTGACTCTCGCCAAGGAGGGCAAGGGTCGCAAGAAGGTCATTCGTTTGCAGTGCGCGATCGCAGAGGCAATGAGGCTTCAAGCCCGGGAGCACTTGGCCAACTGCTGTTCCATCTGCGGGAGCGGGCATAGCTTGATCATGCGGTACACGGGGGCGGACAAGCGCGTGAACGTCTACAAGGGCGTCCTGGGCATAGGCAGCCACGTGAAGGCGGGGAGCGGGGCAGAGGGGCTTGCCACGTGCACGGAACAAATACATTGGCTTAGCCTAGCTCTGCCCGGCCCCCCGAGAATCAAAGCTGCCTGTCTGGTCTGGTTTGGTCAGGGATGATGGGGGCTATCATGGCCCCCGCGTGGACCCTCAGGCCCCGTAGTGCCCATAGCATGCATGGGTGCCCCCATCGGGAGGGGGCGCAGATTGTGAAGAGGTTCTGCACTTCCGGCGCTGCGCCGCCGAAGGGGGACGGCGCGGCGCTCGTCCCTGGGGCCAGGCAGGACCAGTTGGCGAAGCAGCTCGCCGAGTCTGTAGGGATTTTTGGGACAGATGCAGCCGCAGACGAACTGGCAATTGGGGCCTCCTGGGGGCCTCTTGGGGCCTCTTGGGGCCATCGTGGGGCCTTTGGGGGCCTCCTGGGCGCTTCCTGGGGCCATCTTTGCCCCTTGGGTGCCTCTGGGGGGTCTCTTGGGGCCTCTTGGGGGTCTCTTGGGGGGCCTCCTGGGGGCCTCTTGGGGAGCCTCTTGGGGCTATCTTGGGGCCATCCTGCGGCCTCTTGGGGCATCCTGTGGGGCCTCGCGGCGTCGATGCTCTGGTCAGGCGGCGCTGCGCGCACCTCCCGCGCTGACATGCGGCGAAGGCTCACGGACATGCGTTCCCACAGCCGTCCCGGTGCTGCAGGAGAGCCTAGAACCGAGTCGATAATAGGGGGCAAACGAACCTACCTCGCTTTTGACCACCCTCGCTTCCAAGAGCTACCAAGCGATGCCAAACTACGGCACGCACTGGTCAGGCCACTCGACGGGGAGGCGCATGGTATGACTTGGTTTTGCCTGGAAGCGAAAGCGGGGTAGGTAATTCACGCTCTGAGATAAGTCGGATCGGCGATCGACGTCCATCAGATCGGCGGAAATCGGCAGCCGAGTCGCGGGGGGTGTCGAATCGGCGGGAGTCGGCAGGCCAGTATGCCTCCGACAGCGGATCGGAACCCACATCGGAATCCCACATCGGATCGAATCGGAATCGGAGGCCACCGGAGCCGGAGCCCAAATCGGAACCCCAGGCCAGATCGAAGGATTGCAAAAAACCCTTGAACGAAGGATTGCAAAAAACCCTTGAACGAAGGTTTTTTGCAATCCTTCGGGTTTTTTGCAATCCTTTTTGCAATCCTTTGTTCAAATCGAGTCGGAATCGGAGGCCATCGAAGTCGGATCGAGTCGAATCGGAGGAGTCGAAGCGAGCCCCCCCTGCGGGGGGGGGGGGCGTGGCTGCCGCCCGCGGTGCTGCCAGCCCCCCCCCCCCTGGGGCGGAGGAAGCGGCGCGGCAGAGCAGAGCGGCAGGCGAGCAGTCGAGCAAGGCAGGCCACGCCCTCACGGGCTCCGGACGTGCACCCCGCGACTCGCCATCGCTCGGACGTGCATGTGAGCGTTTTTTTTTTTATTACTCGGCGCCTCGACATTGGGCGAAGGGGGAGGGGGGGATGGTCTGGCTCCGGACCTCTGCTCAGCGCGGCTGTTTGCGACAATGCGTCCTATGGGGGAGGCTCCGCCCGCTCGAAACAGGCGCCTAAGAAACAGTCAAGATCCACTCCAGGGTGGGGGGAGGGGGGTGCTGCGAGGGCCCGCGCCGATCGGCAAACCAACGAATCAAAATTATAGCCGGAGTGCAGTATCCCCAAACAGGGTTTTTAGACCCACTGCGGTTTCCAAGGTCGATTGCGTGCCCGTCCAGTGCGGGCTGGCATGGCATGTTAAAACATGCCTCCTCCTCCTCCTCCTCCTCCTCGTCCACCTCCTATTCATCCCGAAAGGCATCTCGGAGCCTAGAGTTGCGAGGATGTCTCCAGCGTAACGGGCTGGACCACATCTCGAACCCCAGAGTTGCGACGATGTCTCGGGACCCCAGAGTTGCGACGATGTCTCGTGGTGCGAGGAAGTCTCAGGCGAAACGGGCCGGACCACCTCGAGCGCGGCGTCTCAGAGCTCCGAGTTGCGGGGGCCTCCTGGTGCCTCCTGGGGCCTCCTGGGGACCTCCTGGAGCTTCCTCCTGGGCCTCCTGTGGCCTCCTGAACTCCACCTGGGGTTTCCTGAAGCGTCTTGGGGCTCCCAGGGGGGATATCTAAGCTGTGGCCGCTTGGGCCCCTCAAAATACAGGGGGGGGGCCACAAGAGCAGGAAAAATCAACGAATTGACACCGGATGTGAATTAACTTGACACGTTCTGATAGGGGGCCTCCTGTGAGCCTCCTGGGAATCTCCTGGAGACCCCTGGGGCCTGTCCTGGGCGTCCTGCGGCCTCCTGGTGCCTCCTGGGGACCTCCTGGAGCTTCCTCCTGGGCCTCCTGTGGCCTCCTGAACTCCACCTGAGGTTTCCTGAAGCATCTTGGGGCTCCCAGGGGGGATATCTAACCTGTGGCCGCTTGGGCCCCTCCAAAATGGAGGGGGGGGCACAAGAGCAGGAAAAATCAACGAATCGACACCAGATGTGTATTAACTTGACACGTTCTGATAGAGGGCCTCCTGGGGCCTCCTGGGAGCCTCCTGGGAATCTCCTGCGGGGCCTGTCCTGGGCGTCCTGCGGCCTCCTGAAGCTCTCTGGGGCCTCCCCCTCCTCCTGCCTGCTCCCTCATGCACATCATCCGCCTCCTCCTTCTCCCTTCCATCTTCTCCTCCCTCTCCTCCTCCTCCTCCTCCTCCTCCTCCTCTTCATCCCGAACGGCATCTCGGAGCCTAGAGTTGCGAGGATGTCTCCAGCGTAACGGGCTGGACCACCTCGCGCGCGGCATCTCGAACCCCAGAGTTGCGACGATGTCTCGGGCGAAACGTGGTGCGAGGAAGTCTCAGGCGAAACGGGCCGGACCACCTCGAGCGCGGCGTCTCAGAGCTCCGAGTTGCGGGGGCCTCCTGGTGCCTCCTGGGGCCTCCTGGGGACCTCCTGGAGCTTCCTCCTGGGCCTCCTGTGGCCTCGTGAACTCCACCTGGGGTTTCCTGAAGCGTCTTGGGGCTCCCAGGGGGGATATCTAAGCTGTGGCCGCTTGGGCCCCTCAAAATACAGGGGTGGGTCACAAGAGCAGGAAAAATCACCGAATCGACACCGAATGTGCATCAACTTGACACGTTCTGATAGGTGGTCTCCTGGGGCCTCCTGTGAGCCTCCTGGGAATCTCCTGGAGACCCCTGGGGCCTGTCCTGGGCGTCCTGCGGCCTCCTGGTGCCTCCTGGGGACCTCCTGGAGCTTCCTCCTGGGCCTCCTGTGGCCTCCTGAACTGCACCTGAGGTTTCCTGCAGTATCTTGGGGCTCCCAGGGGGGATATCTAACCTGTGGCCGCTTGGGCCGCCCAAAATGGAGGGGGGGGCACAAGAGCAGGAAAAATCAACGAATCGACACCGGATGTGTTTTAATTTGACACGTTCTGATTGAGGGCCTCCTGTGGCCTCCTGGGAGCCTCCTGGGAATCTCCAGGGGGCCCCTGGTGTTGGCGGAGTCGGCGCAGCAGTAATATCAGGAAATTCCGACGATATATCTCCCACCCAACTCGATGAATGTATAACGAAACAGTTGTCACAGCGTCGCTAGCCGTGCTGCAAGGTGTGGCTCCTCTGGCCACGTGAAACGAATGTAAAAGTATGAATATCCCGCCCTTGAGCCAAAGCCACCACAAAGAAGGGCTTCGGGCAGGTAGTGCACAGGACTGACTGTTCATAGCTAACACTGGTTCTACTCTTCTCAGTCCTGAAGCTACACGCATCGAGACCGCATGAGACTGCGAGTCGACTCAGAAAAACAAGAATCGTCACACGAAGACTCCAAGGGATCTAAAAAACCTCCCTCGCCTCCAATGGCGGCCTCCTCGGGCGCGTCTGCGAAAGCGCCCTTGCCATCGCGCTGCCTCCGACGTCCACTTTGGAACATCTCGTCAAAAATACACTTCCAGCGCTGTGTAGTCAAAAACTCTTCCATCACATGCCGAGCCGGATATCCCGGCTTCGTCAAACTATCTGCTAACATAGCCAAACCATTCACCCATCTAAAAGAAACGCCAGTGCGCAAAATCTGTTCCTTAATGCCCCTGGCCTCCCCACCTGATCTGAAACTGCGCATGCCCAACTGAGGAGACTCTGACTTCAAAATCGCATCGTACATGCCGCGTGAATCTGTGATGAGCATGCCTGGCACGATCTTGACTGTGTCGTCCAACTTCCAACGAGTCGGCTCGACTCCATGTAACTCTGCCCGCATCAATCTGGATAACCACAGCATCTCGTCAGCGAACGCGGTCGACTGCGTCTCGTTGTTGTTGGAACCCGAAATCTTACGAGGTAGCTTGAAAGATCTCCATCCAAGTATCGAAACATTTGCCATGCTGCCATTCGCAAAGTCCGGAGTCGAGAGGCCTGTCACCAGCCCGCCAGTCTTGCTGCCGTCGGGCCTGAGCTTGTCACTAGCATCGTCCCACTGCACCATCCATAACTCGTGCCAATCGTAGTTCTCGAACTGGTGAAACTTGATCACCTGCGAGGCTGATTTACGCATATCCTTGACAAGCTTGTTGGCGTTCGCCATGTCACTGATCTAGGCGTTGTTGACTTGAGACAAGGCCAGCCCAACATCCACCGCATACTGTGGAGACACTTGTTGTGCCCTCCAACTGGCTGTGCCCAGTACTCCACGACGGAGTGAAATCTCTTTCGGCTCGAGTGGTAGATGAGCCTGCTTCTTACGATCAGCGTCGATCTCGGCCTCCGTGGTGAATTTGTTGTGTAGTCGTAGAGGTCCAACGTGATCGAAAAATCCTTGAACTGGCGAGCGCGTAGTCCACTGAATTCGGCACGGCCGGAAGTCCATGCTCCCCATCGGTAGAGGTCCCTGATGGCCTTCTCCGCGTCCCCGTACAACTTCGACGTCTCGTCGCCGCCGATGATGAAGTCATCCACGTGGACGCCAATGATACCCTTCAGCTGGTTATTGGAGTCCAGCAAGATCCACGCGGATTGGTCGGCACGTAGTTGTCGCCAACCTCGGCCGCGAAGTTTGCGCGCGATGTCAAGCCACCATGCTCTCGGAGCTGTTGTCAATCCACAGAAAGACTTGACCATCTTCAAGATCTGCGAAGGACGCCCAAGCTCATCAGGAAAAGCATGAGCCACTTCCGCAATAACCTTCACATTCAGACTCTCGAACTCCTCGCTCGCGTCGGTCTGGAGCAAAGCTGAGCTGACGTCGCCGAGCTTGAGCTTGAACTTGTGCTGCGCACGCACCTGGAACAGCATGTTGCGAGCCAGCTTCCCCGGCGTAGGCGCCGCCGTAGCGAGCTCCGTCAGACTCGGGTGCTGGTAGCCCAGAATGACTAGCCGAGCCTTCGGCATGCGTGCGCCACCCTCCTGGTACTTGCAGGTGAGGACCCAGCGCATCTTGAGCAATCGCGACTCGTCGATCTCAGTGAGCTCCTCCTGGACGATCCGCTTCAAGACCTTGGTCGCAATGTCCTGGCTGATCTCCTTGCACATCGCCTCGTCAAACTCGAGCTGCTGCCCTGGCGCCAACTTGGAATAGGTGACCTCTGTCGCCTTGCCGTCGCCAAGCCTCTTGGAGAGCCAGGCCGTAAAGTCTTGAAGGGAAGCTCCAATGTGAATGAAATCGGTCGCGACCTCGATAACTTCACGCTCGATGGTCGTGTCCTTCAGGTAGACCGCGGACTGATTGTGGAGATTGTCCCAAGAATCCAGGTACTTGACCTCGTCCACGAAGTCGCGCGTCATGAGATCCATCTCACCGAGCTTGATGCGCTTGGCCTCTGGATCCCTTAAGTCACGTTCGTCTGCTTCACTAGTGGGCCCCCCCCCTGCAGGATCCTGGTTTCCCGCGAAACCCTCTGCGACCGGCCCGTCCGCAGAGTCGGGTCCCACCCCAAAAGGCTCTGCCGGGCTACCCTCTCGGGGAACTACCGAGGCTTCGTCGCCAATCAGAGCACCTGCAGGGCCGCTGGTGATGTCCTCGGGTGCCGCCGACGTCGCTTCTGGCCCATAAGACGCGTCGTAGGGAGATGCCTTGTGCTTCGACCGGACCCGCCTGATCGGCTTCCAATCCTGATTACTCTTGACTTGGTCCCCTTTGTGAAGATCTCGGCCTGTTCCATCCTCATCCTCTGGGACAGGTACTCGAGACAGATCTGGGGGAACCTCTCGAGGAACTGGATGTAAGTTTGCACCGTCGTCTCCAGCCTGAGCCCCGTCATGAGATTCACGCCGATCTCCATGGAGAAAATCTTCACCTGGTCCTGGTTGCTCTGGTAGGTCTGCAAGGCTCTCGGCAATCTCGCGCTCCGAAGGTAGGTCGCCTACCAAATCGGTAAACTCACCGCGCCCAGCACCTTGAAAGACATTGGAAGCGTTGGTCGGCGAGTCCTTGTCTATGTTGCCCTTGAGCGAAGCCACGACTACCTCGCGCTGGCTGCTCGACCTCAGCTGTGTCGGATGACGCCGAATAAGTCTCGTGCCATGCGCGATCCACACCGCCGAAATCTCGTCCTCGATCGAAGCGGACTCGTCGGCACGTTCACGCTGGAGGTTGACCTTCGGCTCGATGGCCAGAACTCTCGCAGGTCCAAACCGCGATCCTCGAGATCCAGTGTTCTTGCCACGGCGGTAGTACATGATCCAGTCGCCGATCTTGATCGAGAGAAGCTTCTGCCTCATGGAGTGCCGAAGCCGAGTCGCCACTGAGCGAGCCTGCTCCTCCAGGTAGACCCGCTCTGCCAAAGGACGATGAAGTTCGGTGTGCGCCAAGCCGTCTCCATCCAGGCGACCAGCCTCCTCTGCGAACTGGTAGCCCTGGTGGTTAGTACCGTGCGCCCACTGGGCTGGTGCGCAGCCCGACGCCTTTTGCTGGTTGTTTTGAGCGGCGCAGGCCAGCGACGCACAGTCGGCCAACGATAGCGTCGGCTCGTCTAAGGAGATGCGTTGGGCGGTATTCTTGATCTGTCTGATAAGAACCTCCAAGTCAGCCGTAAGACCATGGAACTCGCCCGGGCTCTGGATGATGCTCGCCACACCACTCGCGCAACTGGTTGCTCACGAAACCGCCGCCCGGGTCCGAAATCAAGAACTGACACTGCGGCTTGTGCTGCCACCAGTCCTCCAGGAACGCCGACAGCACCTGGGCGCCAGACGGCTCGAAATACGCCTTCTTACCCGCAGATCCACTTCTTGAAAACACTGCGAACTGCCAACTTGCAGGCCGCGTCCATGTAGAGCACCGCGAACAGCTTCCTGTGGTGCACCTCCAGCTCGAAGCAGTCCAGCTTCACCGTCTGCCACAGCTTTGGTGGCATAGAGAGTGACGCCGCGGCCTGGTGCTGCGTGTCCTGGGTCTCGGTGCAGGCATCGCAGATCAGCTCGCCCACGAGCGCCTGCTGCCAACTTGGACACCCGCGTCTCTGGAGCATCGCCTTCATGTTGGTTTTGGACATATGTCCGCCAAGAATGTGGAGGTCCATCAGCCAGGATTTGACTTTGTCGAGCGTGACGTTGTCCTCCGGCATCTTCTTCAAATGCGTATCTATGCCCGACTCGATGCCGTACAACTGCTCCTCGTAATCCTGCAGCGCGCTCATGGCCCAGAAGTCCCCCGCGAAATCCTGACCACGCAGGTCCTTCGCGAAACCCTTGACCAATCTCCGAATCATCGGATCTGGATAGTAGGCCGACGCCGCCACGGCGTCGTGACCCTCGAGCGTGCTGTGAGGGTGATCCTTTGTACAGCGTAGTGCCACCCACTGCGTAAAATTCTCGTCGCTGGTGAGGGCCCCGAGACTTGCTCCTGAGCACGCCATTATCATCGCGCATGCCGACCTGGCACGCGTCGGCTCTGACCATGCGGAGAGATCGCCCGATGATCTTCTCCGCCTCGCGCCTGAGCTGGTTGAGCTCCGTTGTAGACCAGCCACTGCACTTGTGCGGCCACTCCCAGTAGATATCACCATCGCGTCGTAGAGTCTCCAAGGCCATATCCACACAGTGTCCATTCATAGCGCGGGCCCGAAGTCACGATCGTAGAAAATTCTCCCAGTTGCCAGGTCGTCGTTTGTGTTCGGGGGTAAGATTCTGCATCAACGAGAAGTAGGTGCATGGTGTCGAAAACCACGCCTTGCGAGGACACGTCGTATTGAACCATTCCTTGGCACGACTAGTGTCGTCCTTCTTGTGGAGGTCGTAGCCCTGCTCCAGGTTGATGCGCTGACAATTGAAAACTTCACTCAACAGACCGGCTGTCAACCTCGAAGTTGGAGAACACGCGACTTCGGCAAAGTCCACTCGCATTGCCGAACCTGTCTGCACAAGGCCCAGCATCATACCATTCACGAGCGTGCTCAGTGCCGTCATGCCGCTCTGGATCGCGCGGCGCTGCTTGATTGAAACTCGCTTCACTTCATGGGGAAATCCCCCATGTCCCCCCGCACCGGCATCGCCGCGAAGTCCTCCTGCTCCACCTCCGGCTTCGCCTTCAGGCGCCTGACTCCCGGACCAGGACTGCCCACTTGATGGGGAGGTCCTTCTGCTTGGTCGCGGGCGCGGGCGTCTCGTCCGGGTCCGCCGCGGCGCTCGAGACCACGTCCCACGTGCTGCTGCGGGGTGTTGAATCCGATGCCGCAGAGCTTGGGTCCGCTCCGACCGCGCGCACGGTGCGCGCCGCAGTCGGCGCTCCTGTCGATGGTCTGGTTGCCGCCGGTGGTCTCCCTGGATCGGTTTTGATCTCGATCTTGACGCCCTCGGTCTTGGTCTTGCGGGCTGTCCAGTGGCCCTCCTTGTCCGGATCGCTCTTGATGTAGTGCCCCGTCTCGATGATGCGCTCCGCCTCGATTGCCTTCATGTGCGCCTCGACCCTCGCGGCCGTCGGAGTGTCTCCCGATTCCTGTAGCCGGCGAAGGGCCACCGTCACCGAGGCCGTCTTCGGCTCCTTGCGGTACTTGCCGCTGCACCCTTTCTTCGGAGCGTAGTCCAGCCTGAAAGCGCACCTCTCGCACGTCAGCCACACTCCGAAGCGGTTGCTGGTGTAGCTCGACACGGTGTGGGTCCCCTGGCACGGCCAGCTGGTCACGCGAGGATCCCTCGGATCGGCCCCCTTGCTCAGAGACCAGTCCGTCTGCTCTGCCGCCGCGCGTGGTAGATCGGGGTAGAGCCTCTTGTCGCCCATCAGGGCGAAACATGGAGGATTGAAAAGCACCGAGCTGATCTCGAATACCCTGGAGCCGAAATTCCAATGGTGCAGTCGGCGTTGGACGAAACCAAATTTCGGCACGAACCGCACTGACCCCGTCCGGCAGTGGGCGACAAAGCCACCTCCCAGGGGTTGCAATCGTCCCAAAACCGTCGCCAATAACCACTGAACTGTGTAAACACGTCGTCCTACGCCAGCACATCCCACAACGTCGAGCATCGCCAGGGCGTTCGAAGGTTCTAAATACTCTCGAAAACCAGTCTTCCCGAACATATCGGCCGAGTTCTGATTCATCTGATTCTGGACTGTATCCCGTCACATGGTTTACCATATTAATTTCATGGCATGGTAGAGCGCAACCCGTTTCCAACCTTTGATGTTTGACATTCTGCAATTGTAATCGTACGCCTATCATCAGACCACCCTCGCCGATACCCTGATACTGTACTCCCTCTTTTCTGTGGTCACCTGTGAGTCCCGGGGAGAACGGAACTCCGGTGCGCTTTCCCTAGCTGCCGGCCGAACTCAGGACGTCCAGCAAGCGGTGGCCGCCCTTGCCCTTCCGGAGCTGAACCTTCGTGGTCTTGTCATCGCTGAGGTAGATCTCCAGCTCATTCCTGCGAAAGGAGACGTCGTGCTGATCCAGCCAGTCAACTCCTGCGAGCACCGGCACCTCATCAGCGCCCAGTAAGTAGATGCCCAGCCGGCCGATGGGCGCAAAGAGCCACGCCTTGGACAGCGCCTGGCCCCACTGGCCATTCGCGAACTTGAACCAGGGCCTGTCGGATGCATCCACCTCGATCTTCGCGTCCGGGAACTTCTTGGTGACAGCCGAAACCAACTTCCCGACGGCGTCGCCACCCCCAGCTGTCGTCGTAGCTTCGCAGTCAAGGACAATCTCCGTTGACGACGGGCACGAAAGGGACAGGATCATGTCCGTGCAAAAGATGCCCCCGATGTAGTGCACCTTGCCCTTCTTGCTCTTGCCCTTGGACCCGCCCTTGGCGAAGCTCTTACCCTTGCTGGAGTAGCGGTCGGGACACTGCCTCCAGTAGCGGTCCGGCCGACCACAGATCAGGCATCCGCGTCCTGGAGGTCCTGCCGATGATCCCTTCACTTGGTAGCCGCCCTTCTTGCCGTCTTTGCCGGAGCCCTTCTGCGGACAGAACCCCCTGTTCTTCCGCGCCTCTGCCGCTGCACTCCTGGCCTCGGAAAGCGTCCGATTAGCTTCGGCAGCAAGGATCTCGGCCGCGTTCACCTGCTCGTCCAAGTACGAGTCGTCCGTCGCGTGCGTAGTCAAATCCGGTGTCCAGGTAGCTGCTGTTGCCTGGCCCCACTGGTCTGGCGAAGTGTTCAATCCAGCGTCGTTGTTGGACCAGTCCCACGAGCTGGTGGCCCATGTCGTCTGATCCCCCTCGTCCGCGTAGAAAGCACACCGCCAGACATCTTCGTTCTCATCATAGCTCCAGTCGACTGTCCACGATGATTCTTCACCGCGGATCGCCGCGCACATGTCGTCCATCTCCTCCACGCTCTCGAAGGCGAAAACTCTGCCTCTGAAGCCCCGACCCTGCTGCTGAGCTGGTTTGTCGCGGTCTCGGAGGTCTCGATCATCCCACGACGCGCGAAGCTGTGTGACGATGGACTCATATCGGGTGTCGTTCTGAGCGCCTGCCAGGATCATCTGGCGCTCTTCTCTACTCAGGCGAGCATTGTGCAAGAGCCTATACCCACGAAGCTCTGCCTCGAAGAAGCTCGCGTCGGTCTCCGACTTGGCCATAGAAACTCCTGACTTGGCCGACATCGCAGACTTCTTCTCTGTTGCGTCCCCGGCCTCGGCGTCTTCCTCGACCTCCTCGGCCTCTTCGAACTCCTCGGTCGTCGGCTCCTTAACCGTCGACGTAGCTGTTCGCCCAGTTCTCGTACTCGCCTGAGCCGCTTCTCGTCGCAGTCGGTCTGAGCGTAGTCGCTTCAAGGCCGACCGCATGTCTCTGAACAGGTTGTCCTCTCGGATCACAAACTCGCCGATCACCTCACCGGGCCTGCGAATCACTTGATCGTAGTTGCGGATCTTCTGGTACGCGCCTGGGATCGGCATCTTACCTAGAGGACCTTCTCTTAGGTGTTTGAGCAACGCTTCTACACCTCCTGACACAAAGTCGTTCGGTCTCATATCTTTCACTGCCTCCTTAGCTGCACCTCGTAGCGCAGTCCACAGACGAGCCACGGTGAGGTTCCTCTCGTTATCCTTCAGTCCAGCTCGGTACCACAGAACTGCATTCTCATAACTCTCGAACGTCAGTGGGTCTCCACTCCATGTCGGCACTCCCTGCTCATTAGTCTCACACCCGGCGGTCGACTTCAATGTGGGTCTCCACGATGGCTCCGCTACAATGTTGGCGGAATCGGCGCAGCAGTAATATCAGGAAGTTCCGACGATATATCTCTCACCCAACTCGATGAATGTATCACGAAACAGTTGTCACAGCGTCGCTAGCCGTGCTGCAAGGTGTGGCTCCTCTGGCCACGTGAAACGTATATAAAAATATGAATATCCCGCCCTTGAGCCAAAGCCACCACAAAGAAAGGCTTCGGGCAGGTAGTGCACAGGACTGACTGTTCATAGCTAACACCTGGAGCCTGTCCTGGGCGTCCTGCGGCATCCTGGACCTCTCTGGGGCCTCCTGAGGCTCGCAGGGTCCCATGGAGGATATGTAACATGTGGTCTTCTGGGCCCCCAGGCTGGACCACCTCTTGCGCAGCATCTGAGAGCTCAGAGTTGCGAGAATGTCTTGTGCGAAACAAGCCGGACCACCTTGCGCACGGCATCTCAGAGCTCAGAATTGCAAGGATGTCTCAGGCGAGACGGGCCGGACCACCTCGCGCAGGGCATCTCAGAGCTCAGATGTTCGAAGATGTCTCAGGCGAAACGGGCCGGACCACCTCTCGCGCGGCATCTCCAAAGTCAGAGTTTCGAGGATGTCTCAAGCGAAACGGGCCGGACCACCTCGCGCAAGGCATCGCAGAGCTCAGAGTTTCGAGGATGTCTCAGGCGAAACGGCCCGGACCACCTCTCGCACGGCACCTCGGGGCTCAGAAATTCGAGGATGTCTCAAGCGAAACGGCCCGGACCACCTCTCGCGCGGCGTCCCGGAGCGCAACTTGTCGAGGATGTCTCAGGCGAAACGGCCAATCCCAGTCAACTCAGAAACGAGAGTTGTGAGGATGTCTCAAGCGAAACGGCAAAAACCATAATTTTTTTGTGAGGATGTCTCTGCTCCGCCTGCCCTCGGCCGGAGTTAGTTTCTATCACAACAGCACCCCGTTCAGCAAGCTGTTTGGGGAAAAATCGTGATGTCGGATGTCTGGGGAGGGCGGAAGGCAGTGCGCGCATGACGGATGCTGAGGCGGCAGAAACGACGACGGCGGGGACGGGGAGGCGGAGGCAGAGGCGCAGCAGCGGGAGGCGGGAGGCGGGAGGAAGAGGAACCAGGCGGGAAGTGGGAAGAGGGAGGCGGGAGAAGGAATGAGAGAGGTTGTGATTGGAGTTCCTGTGCTACGAAACGTCTCAGGCAGAATGGGCCAGACCATCTCGCGCGCAACATCTTCGAGCCTCGCATTGCGAGGATGGCTCAATCGAAACGGGCTGGACCACCTCGCGAGCGACATCTTGGAGCTCAGTATTGGAAGGATGTCTCAAACGAAACGGGCCGGACAATCTTTCGCACACGTTTTGACAAGTCCACATCGCACTCGCTTCCCGTTAGGTCCTCTCCTGCAACTCCCTTCCTTCTCCCTCCTCCTCCTCCTCCTCCTCCCCCTCCTCCTGCTTGCTCCCTCATGCACATCATCCGCCTCCTCCTTCTCCCTTCCATCTCCTTCTCCTCCTCCTCCTCCTCCTCCTCCTCCTCCTCCTCCTCGACCTCCTCTTCATCCCGAACGGCATCTCGGAGCCTAGAGTTGCGAGGATGTCTCCAGCGTAACGGGCTGGACCACCTCGCGCGCGGCATCTCGGACCCCAGAGTTGCGACGATGTCTCGGGCAAACGTGCTGCGAGGAAGTCTCAGGCGAAACGGGCCGGACCACCTCGAGCGCGGCGTCTCAGAGCTCCGCGGGGGGGGGGGCCTCCTGGGGACCTCCTGGGGCTTCCTCCTGGGCCTCCTGTGGCCTCCTGTGCCTCCTGGGGTTTCCTGAAGCCTCTTGGGGCTCCCAGGGTGGATATCAAACCTGTGGCCGTTTGGGCCTCTCCAAATGGAGGGGGGGGCACAAGAGCAGGAAGAATCAACGAATCGACACCGGATGTGTATTAACTTGACACGTTCTGATAGGCGGCCTCCTGGGGCCTCCTGGGAGCCTCCTAGGAATCTCCTGGGGACCCCTGGGGCCTGTCCTGGGCGTCCTGCGGCCTCCTGGAGCTCTCTGGGGCCTCCCCCTCCTCCTGCCTGCTCCCTCATGCACATCATCCGCCTCCTCCTTCTCCCTTCCATCTCCTCCTCCTCCTCCTCCTCCTCCTCCTCCTCCTCCTCCTCCACCTCCTCTTCATCCCGAACGGCATCTCGGAGCCTAGAGTTGCGAGGATGTCTCCAGCGTAACGGGCTGGACCACCTCGCGCGCGGCATCTCGGACCCCAGAGTTGCGACGATGTCTCTGGCGAAACGTGGCGCGAGGAAGTCTCAGGCGAAACGGGCCAGACCACCTCGAGCGCGGCGTCTCAGAGCTCCGAGTTGCGGGGGCCTCCTGGGGCCTCCTGGGGACCTCCTGGGGCTTCCTCCTGGGCCTCCTGTGGCCTCGTGAACTCCACCTGGGGTTTCCTGAAGCCTCTTGGGGCTCCCAGGGTGGATATCAAACCTGTGGCCGTTTGGGCCTCTCCAAATGGAGGGGGGGGCACAAGAGCAGGAAGAATCAACGAATCGACACCGGATGTGTATTAACTTGACACGTTCTGATAGGCGGCCTCCCGGGGCCTCCTGGGAGCCTCCTGGGAATCTCCTGGAGACCCCTGGGGCCTGTCCTGGGCGTCCTGCGGCCTCCTGGACCTCTCTGGGGCCTCCTGAGGCTCGCAGGGTCCCATGGAGGATATGTCAACATGTGGTCTTCTGGGCGCCCAGGCTGGACCACCTTCGCGCAGCATCTGAGAGCTCAGAGTTGCGAGAATGTCTTGTGCGAAACAGGCCGGACCACCTTGCGCACGGCATCTCAGAGCTCAGAGTTGCAAGGATGTCTCAGGCGAGACGGGCCGGACAACCTCGCGCAGGGCATCTCAGAGCTCAGAAATTCGAGGATGTCTCAGGCGAAACGGGCCGGACCACCTCTCGCGCGGCATCTCCGAAGTCAGAGTTTCGAGGATGTCTCAGGCGAAACGGGCCGGACCACCTCGCGCAAGGCATCGCAGAGCTCAGAGTTTCGAGGATGTCTCAGGCGAAACGGCCCGGACCACCTCTCGCACGGCACCTCGGGGCTTAGAGTTTCGAGGATGTCTCAAGCGAAACGGCCCGGACCACCTCTCGCGCGGCGTCCCGGAGGGATGTCTCTGCTCCGCGTTCCCTCGGCCGGAGTTAGTCTCTATCACAACAGCACCCCGTTCCGCAAGCTGTTTGGGGAACAACGACCACATTCCCCGTTGCATGCTTCGATCTCGTGCGTGTTTTTCGCATGAGCCAGAATGCTCCTCAATGGTCCTCGCCCCCAAGGGCTCCTAAGTTCGCGCTTCGCGCTGCGCGAAGCGCGAATAACTTCGCGCTCTCGCGCCGCCCCCCAAGGGGGAGAAGAGGAGGACGAGGAGGAGGGGGAGGAGGAAGGAGGACGGCGAAGCGCGAAGCGCGAATAACTTCGCGCCCTCCTGGGAGCCCTTGAATACGCACGTCCGAGCGATGCCAAGGCGACGCGAGAGGAGTCCACGTCCGTCTGGACTGCAGCGAAGCGTCTCGGCAGTCCGACAGGTGTGTGACGCCAGTCCTCCCCGTCTCCTCCCCCCCCCTTCCTCCTTCTCCTTCTCCCCCCCCCTCCTCTCCCCCCCCCCTCCTCCCCCTCCTCCCCCCTCCCCCTCCTCCTCCTCCTCCTCCTCCTCCTCCTCCTCCTCCACCTCCCGTTCCCCTCCTCCTCCTCCCTCCTCCTCCTCCTCCTCCTCCTCCCTCCTCCCTCCTCCTCCTCCTCCTCTCCTCCTCCTCCTCCCCTCCTCCTCCTCCTCCTCCTCCTTGTCCTCCTCCTCCTCCTCCTTGTCCTTCTCCTCCTCCTCCTCCTCCACCTCCTCGTTCCCCTCCTCCTCCTCCTCCTCACAGGTGTGCGAGCCGCTGTCAGAGACCATCCTTTGTGAAACATCCCCTCTGAATGCACCTGAGGGCCCGCGCCGAGTCGCCGACTCGTTTCCGCGCATCCTTCAATCTCGCAGAGAAAAATTACCCTGTGACGTACCCAACCCAGTTGTATCAATGGAAACGAAGAGTTGGCCGAAACTTGTATGGACAATCAACTTGATGTGTAAGCTACTTGGGAGGCGTCACTGTGCTGGGCCCCGCAAGCAGGCCTCGAAAGTGGCGACAGTTTCACAGATCGCAGCCCCCCAGGGATGGCGAGGTCTAATTTGAATCTGCGTGTGGCGTCACTGTGCTGGGCCCCCCAGCAGGCCTCGAAAGTGGCGACAGTTTCACAGATCGCAGCCCCCCAGGGATGGCGAGGTCCCATTTGAATCTGCGTGTGGGTACCCACTGTGCTGGGCCCCGCAAGCAGGCCTCGAAAGTGGCGACAGTTTCACATATCGCAGCCCCCCAGGGATGGCGAGGTCTAATTTGAGTCCGCGGTGAGTACCCACTGTGCTGGGCCCCCCAGCAGCCCTCGAAAGTGGCGACAGTTTCACAGATCGCAGCCCCCCAGGGATGGCGAGGTCTAATCTGAGTCTGCGGTGGGTACCCCCTGTGCTGGGCCCCTCAGCAGCCCTCGAAAGTGGCGACAGTTTCACAGATCGCGGCCCCCCAAGGATGGCGAGGTCTAATCCCACCAGCCCTCTGGGCGTCGGTGGTTTAGAGCGTTTCCTCTTCCACCCCTCCTTCTTCCCCTTCGGGGATGGGTTTACCCCTCCCCCTACCCCCTCCCCACTGACCTGGACAAGGGGGGCGGGGAGCGGTCAGAGCGTCCAAAACGGCCTCGCCGAGGAAGCCAAATTCATTGATGTTACTAAGGTTTTGGCCCCATTTTGGCACCCAGAGGGGGCAGCACTAATTGAAGCTCCCCTCTTCTTTGATCGATTTCCTCCAAGATGGCCCCAATAAGCGCACAGGAGGCACCAAGAGGCCCCAAGATGGCCCCAAGATGGCCCCAAAAGGCCCCCAGGAGGCCCCCAAGAGGATCCCAAACGGCCCAAAGAGCCCCCCCCGAGGCACCCAAGACGCCGAACAGCCCCTCAAGACGACCCTCTACTCGCCTGGGCGTCGTTTCTGGACGGGCTGGTGGGGATACGCGAAGCGCCTAGAATTTGAGTCTGCGGTGAGTACCCAGTGTGCTGGGCCCCGCAAGCAGGCCTCGAAAGTGGCGACAGTTTCACAGATCGCAGCCCCCCAGGGATGGCGAGGTCCCATTTGAATCTGCGTGTGGGTACCCACTGTGCTGGGCCCCCCCAGCAGGCCTCGAAAGTGGCGACAGTTTCACATTTCACATATCGCAGCCCCCCAGGGATGGCGAGGTCTAATCTGAGTCTGCCGTGAGTACCCACTGTGCTGGGCCCCCCAGCAGGCCTCGAAAGTGGCGACAGTTTCACATATCGCCGCCCCCCAAGGATGGCGAGGTCCCATTTGAGTCTGCCGTGAGTGCCCACTGCGCTGGGCCCCCCAGCAGGCCTCGAAAGTGGCGACAGTTTCACAGATCGCAGCCCCCCAAGGCTGGCGAGGTCTCATTTGCGTCTGCCGTGAGTACCCACTGTGCTGGGCCCCCCAGCAGCCCTCGAAAGTGGCGACAGTTTCACAGATCGCATCCCCCCAAGGATGGCGAGGTCCCATGTGAGTCTGCGGTGAGTACCCAGTGTGCTGGGCCCCCCAGCAGCCCTCGAAAGTGGCGACAGTTTCACAGATCGCAGCCCCCCAGGGATGGCGAGGTCTAATTTGAATCTGCGGTGAGTGCCCACTGTGCTGGGCCCCCCAGCAGGCCTCGAAAGTGGCGACAGTTTCACAGATCGCAGCCCCCCAGGGATGGCGAGGTCCCATTTGAGTCTGCCGTGAGTACCCACTGTGCTGGGCCCCCCAGCAGGCCTCGAAAGTGGCGACAGTTTCACAGATCGCAGCCCCCCAAGGATGGCGAGGTCCCATTTGAGTCTGCCGTGAGTACCCACTGTGCTGGGCCCCCCAGCAGCCCTCGAAAGTGGCGACAGTTTCACAGATCGCAGCCCCCCCGAGGTCCATTTGAGTCTGCCGTGAGTACCCACTGTGCTGGGCCCCCCAGCAGCCCTCGAAAGTGGCGACAGTTTCACAGATCGCATCCCCCCAAGGATGGCGAGGTCCCATGTGAGTCTGCCGTGAGTACCCACTGTGCTGGGCCCCCCAGCAGCCCTCGAAAATGGCGACAGTTTCGCAGATCGCAGCCCCCCAAGGATGGCGAGGTCCCATTTGAGTCTGCCGTGAGTGCCCACTGTGCTGGGCCCCCCAGCAGGCCTCGAAAGTGGCGACAGTTTCACAGATCGCCGCCCCCCAAGGATGGCGAGGTCCCATTTGAGTCTGCCGTGAGTACCCACTGTGCTGGCCCCCCAGCGGGCCTCGAAAGTGGCGACAGTTTCACAGATCGCAGCACCCCAGCTGGCACGCAGCGACGAGCGAGGCGAAAGGCAAGGGGGAAGAGAGGGACGGGAGGGGGTGGGAAGGAGACGCGCGAGCAGTGCTCTATTCAAAACGAGAACCCAACGCAGGAGGGTTGGGAAAACCAAACTAAACCATTGGCAGATCACTGATTTTAGGCTTCTTCGGCTTCCGATGGGGATCCGAAAAGGCCTCAAGACGGCTCAAGAGGGCTTCAAGGCGGCTCAAGACGGCCCAAGATGGCCCAAGAGGGCTCCAGATACCCCCAAGATGGCTACAAGGAGAATCCCAAGAGCGCCTCAAGATGCTAGGGACACGTTTCCTTACGCCTTCGCAGGATTTTAGCGATGCTGCATTTTTGACACTCGGGGGCCAATGCCGGCCCACACAACCTCCAGGATGGCCCCCATACGGCCCAAGATGGCCCCAACATGGCCCAAGAGCACCCCAAGATGGCCCAAAGAAGCCCACACGACTGCCCAGAAGGCCACCCAAACGGCCCAGGACGACCCCAAGAGCGCTCCCAGGCGGCCCCGAGAGGCCCTCAAGACGGCCTCTGAAGAGGCCAGACGGCGCAAGCACGCTCCAAAACGGCCCAAAACGTCACCAAGGCCCCAAAGAGGCCCCCAAGAGGCCCCCTAAGAAGCCTCCAAGAGGCCCCGCTAGGCTCTAAATCATCTCCACAACGACTGGACTCTACGTGGTTCAGCCCCGCGAAGCGAGAGGAATCAAGCACTGAGGACTGCCCAATGCAGTATACCCACGATATGATGGAGTAAATGGTCTGACACGCTCCATTCGTAGCGATATCACCCACCTGCCAATCATTATGAAGTGTACTGTTATCGTCGAAACGTCCCTGCGCATTGCCTGACGTGCCACCAGTGGAATTACCCCAAAGCACGCCAACGCCAGATGCAAGCTCCACCCCACTACGGCACTGCCTCATCACTGGCCAACTCACTGTTCCAGATCCAAGCTCCGCCGCCCAATCAAAATGGAAATACTGGCCCATGGCATTTTCGCTGTATCCAATGCTCAAGACGACAAGCGACATGACCCCTGGAAATTGGAACCACTCGGTCGGCGTGTAACGCGCAGTGGGTGTTGGGTAATCAACATCCTGAGCGTGCACGACCACCCACGAGCTGCCAATATACTTGTGCAGTGTCCATTGCACTGGGTCGTTGGAGTATTCATCGCTGGCCGTTATGAACCTGAAACTGTCTGGTTCCGCGGTGCAATCCAAGATTGTAAGTACAAGGGCCTGCATATTGACGTCGGCCCACTTGGTTAATATACTACCGTCTATTGCCATTTCAGGTGTTTCCAAAGACGGATTGGAGCCTCCAGGATTCGCTGCTCCAGTGACTGCAACCTGCGAACCGCTGCTCATGAATTCGATCTCCGCGAAATGGACGAAAGTGGACTCGTTCCGCAACTTCGTCGGCGTGAACTTGTAAATGCACTCCGTCTCGGTGGCAGAGGTCTCGGCAGCCGCAGCCATAGTCGTGGTAGCAACGTTACTTGCACAGAGCCCCAGCAACCACGCGAACCACGGTGCGTTGGGGCCGAGGCTGGCTGGTGCAGGCCCCGCCATGACCACGGATCGCTCGCGCGGGCAAGTGCGAGGGATTACCTCGGAACCCAGACCCCCGACGCCGTGACTTCTTCACAACGGTGGCCCCCAGAGGTCTGGACCCTTTCCCCGGGACCGTTTTTTCCTCCCGAGTCGTGTTTTTGCCCCGAGGCCCGTGAAGGACCCCCGGGCCCCCGGGAGGCCGAAGACAGCGAATAGACAAGCCCGTCGTGATTTTTTCACAACGCGAGGCCCGCCATCGCTCGGACGTCCTTTCCCTGTGTTTTGTTCGGTTTCGTTTTTTTTTTTTTTTTTTTTTTTTTTTTTTTTTTTTTTTTTTTTTTTTTTTTTTTTTTTTTTTTTTTTTTCCCCCGCAGGATGATCCAGGATGCCCCTTGAGAATCCCCGACGAGAAAAAATGCACACGCCCGAGCGATACCAAGGAGGGGGTCTGGGTAACTCACAGAGACATGCGCGCGTTCGGTGCGAACTGCACGAGGCCCGAGCCCAGTGGGCTGCGGATGGCGAGCGGTGGCCAGGCGTCATGGCTCCCTGAGAGGCGCCCCAGAGACTGTTCTGAGAACTTGTTGAGGAGGAGGAGGAGGAGGAGGAGGAGGAGGAGGAGGAGGAGGAGGAGGAGCAAGAAGTGGCTCTTGGAACACTTCTGGCTGAGACAGCCTTGCTTTAACACATCGGGCTTGCTGTTCTAGGAACATCGGTTCTAGTATTGGAGCACCAGCGCCGGCTGGTCAGGATCCGCGGGCAACTCCTCCTCCTCCTCCTCCTCCTCCTCCCTCCTCCCTCCTCCTCCCTACCTCCTCCTCCCTCCTCTCTCCTCCCCCCTCCTCCCTCCTCTCTCGTTCCTCCTCACCCCTCTCCTCCTCCCTCCTCCCTCCTCTCTCCTTCTCGTCGTCCTCCCTCTTCTCTCCTTCTCGTCGTCTCGGGCCCCAGCGCCGATCCAAGAAATCCGCGCGGACCTCTGGGTTTTCATGTTCATGTCCCTGTTTATTCCCCTAGATGAGGATGCAGGAACCTTGAAAGGCCATTCAGAGGCTTTCCGAGCGGGGCGAGGCCAGCGAAAGTGGCCAAGGATGGGCCCGAGGGGCCTTGGAAATAGAAGAAGAAAAAACGCCATAAACGGAAACTGTTGACGCTCCGCGCGGACTTCTTGGATCCGCGCTGGACCCCCCTGGCGGCGCCTCCGGCGACGCCCCTGACGCGCTCCGCGCGCCAGGGAAGGGGGTCCAGCGCAGATCCAAAAACTCCGCGCGGAGCGCCAACAATTTATGTCTATGGCGATCTTCCTCTTCGAAGGAAGGCCATTCCGAGGCTTTTCGAGCGGCCAAGCAAACGCCGGAGGGGCAAGGATGCAAGGGTATATCGGGGAGACGTAAGACCCGGGTACGGGGGACTCGGAAATCCCCGACGAGGTCGTCAAAAAAATGACGAGGCCGAGCCTGCATTTTGACGAGGCCTCCCGCTGCAGACATCCCACGAAACTCCTACTCGTCAAAATCCGAGTCGCGGTCGTCAAAAAAAAACGGCGAACCCGAGTCCTGGCAAACCCGAGGAGGAGGAGGAGGGGGGGGAGGAGGAGGAGGAGGAGGAGGAGGAGGAGGAGGAGGAGGAGGAGGAGGAGGAGGAGGAGGAGGAGGAGGAGGAGGAGAAGGAGGAGGAGGAGGAGGAGGAGGAGGAGGAGGCACCCGAGTATACGGCACCCTTGAAAGGGTCGCCCATCCTCCTTCTTCTTCTTCGGGCCGACTGTAGGGGACGGCTCGAAGACCCGAGCCCCTTCGGAGCCCCATGCGGCCCCTCGCCATCGCTGGCACGTCCGTTCCCTGTGCTTTTTGTTTCGATTTCGTGCGTGGCTTGTTCGCCAAATGATCGAGGATGCTCCTCTAGGCGACGAGCCCAGGGGGGAAATGAGAAGGAGAAGGCCTTCTCAGAGGGCCGCGGGACTTCTTAGAAGTCCGGGGGGCTTCTGAGACGTCTCCCTGGCCTGTTTCGAACACAGGCAGAACTTCTCAGAAGCCCTCTCAGAAGTCCAGAAACTTCTCAGAAGCCTCGGAAGTCCCGCCCCTTCTCATTTCCCCCCCGCGCCCGCCGCCGATCCTCGATGGTCCTCGCCGAAGAAAAAATGCACACGTCCGAGCGATGCCGAGGCCCTTGTGCTGGCGTCTCGACTGTGCCCTGACTGCGCAGCCACACCAAAGCCTCTTGCACACGGCACGGGCCGCCTTAGGGGAACGAATACTCGCCATCGCTTGGGCGTCCATTCCCTGTATTTTTTCGATTTCGTGCGTGGCTTGTTCGCCAAATGATCGAGGATGCTCCTCGATTGTCCTCGCCGAAGGAAAAATGCACACGTCCGAGCGATGCCGAGAATGATGACGTAAAAATAAAAACTCGGCCCTGGCGGCGCCTCCGGCGCCGCCCCTGGCGCGCCAGGTAGCGGGGTCCAGCGCGAATCCAAGAAATCCGCGCGGCTCTAGGAACTTTTGTTCATGTAATTTGTCGTTCCCCTAGCCCTTGCCCCCACTCATCCATGAACGATGCCGGGCTGGTGTGCCGGGAGGATGGAAGCACAGAAACTTGCATCGGCGGCGAGCCTAGGGGGGAACTATTAGGTCGGGCATGTCCCCCCACAGGCGGATTCTGGACGAAACATGGGCAAACATAGTTAAGAAATCCCACCAGCCCTTTGGGCGTGAGTGGTTTAGAGAGCTCTCTCTGTCCTCAACCCCCCTTCTTCCCCTTCGGGGAGGGGTTTACCCCTCCCCCTACCCCCTCCCCCTGGGCCTGGAGAGGGACTCCCGGGTGGTGTCAGGGGGGTCTTTTTCGACTCCTGGGAGGGCCAAAAAACGACGACCCTCACGAGGATTCTGGCCCCGACGGGGGGACGCAGTTTGGCCCCTCTGCTCGTCTTTGAAGCCACAAACATTGATTTTACTAGGGTTTTGGCCCCATTTTGGCCTCCTGAGGGGGCCGCGCTCATCTTCCTTCATAGCAGAATCATTTATTTTACGAAGGTTTTGGGCTCATTTTGTCCTTCTCAGGGGGCAGCCTCATTTGCGCTTCTGAGGAGGTCGCAAGAGGCCCAAAGATGGCCCCAAGAGGCCCCCAGGATGCTCCCAAGAGGCCTCCAAGAGGCCCCCCAGAGGCCCCCAAGCGGCCCCAAGAGGCCCCCAAGAGGCCCCCAAGAGGCCCCCAAGAGGCCCCAAGAGGCCCCAAGAGGCCCCCACGAGGCTCCCCAGAGGCCCCCAAGAGGCCCCCAAGAGGCCCCAAGAGGCTCCAAGAGGCCCCCAAGAGGCCCCACGAGGAGCCCGAACGACTCACACCAGGACGAGGGGCCCGAACGACTCACACCACGAAGAGCCCGAACGACTCACACCACAAGGAGGGGCCCGAACGACTCACACCAGGACGAGGCGCCCGAACGACTCACACCACGAGGAGCCCGAACGACTCACACCACGACGCGGGCCCCGAACGACTCACACCACGAGGAGCCCGAACGAGTCACACCAGGAGGAGGGGCCCGAACGACTCACACCAGGATGAGGGGCCCGAACAACTCACACCACGAGAAGCCCGAACGACTCACACCAGGACGAAGAGCCCGAACGACTCACACCACGAAGAGCCCGAACGACTCACACCAGGAAGAAGGGCCCGAACGACTCACACCAGGACGAGAAACCCCAAACGACTCAAATCACGAGGAGCGCTTTCTCTCCCTCCTCCTCCGCCTCGTCCTTCTCCCGCTCCCCCCACAAGGAGGATGTACAAGGAGGCGGGAGGAAGGAGGAACAGGGGAGATATGCGGGGCCAAGCGGACACACGCCTGAAAAACACGACTGTCGGCATGCTTCGCAAGAGTTGCTGCTGTGAGATGGGCTGGTGGGGATACGCGAAGCGTAAAGAATTGTCCCCAGAGTATGTTTGAACTATTTTGGAATATTCCTCCTGTAGAGGGACAGGCCCGACTTAAGGGAAACGAGAGGGAACAAGCCTTCTCAAAGGCGGTGGGTCGGGGAGCTTCTGACCCGGGTCAATCCAGACCCGGGTCACTCGAGTTTTGCAGGATCCTGCGCCCAAGCCCAGGTCAATGCGCCCCCGGCCCTGCAAGGTCCTGCAAGATCCGGCGCCCTGGCTGACCCCCGTTTGCATTGACCCCCGTGTCTTGAGACCCGAGTGGGGCTTCTCAGAAACCTTCCTGCCTTCTGGGGAGCCGTCTCCGTCGTCGGAGAAGACTTCCAAAGCTTCTTGGCAGGAGCGAGGGCTTCCGAAAAGCTCCGCCTCCTTCTGTGCAAAACCGCCCCTTCTCACTTCCGTCCTCCTCCTCCGCCTCCTCCTCCTCCTCCTCCTCCTCTAGTCTAGGCTCGTCACCCACTGCGGTGGAAACACTCCTGAGACAGCTCGGTGGGAAGTTCTCCTTTAAGGGACGAAAAAAGCCCCTACCCTTGGTTGCAAGTGCGTGGTCTGTACACCTCTTGCGAGCTCCCAAAAGCCAGAGAGCCGCCAGTAAGCCGCGCGACACGCGCGGATACGCACGGCTTATCCTGTCAGCCCACAGGAGGTTCAGCGTACAGCGCCTCGTAAACAAGTGGGGGCGTTTGTTGAGCCCTCGAGGAAGTTCTCCTGGCGGTCTTGGGTGCCTCCTGGACCCACCTTGTGGGCTCTCTTGGGGGCCTTTTGAGGAGCCTTGGAGGCCCTTCTGGGGCTCTTCTCGAGCCCTCGGCGCCCTTTGGCGGCCGCGCTGGACGACGTCGATCTAAAACGGAGAGACCATCGACTACAACCCCCCCGTCGGAGCCCTGGAACACCTCTGTGGGAAACATTGAATCGCGAGGGCGCTCGTGAATGTATTCGGAGCCGCCTGATAGCCCGTCGGGGCCCCTCTGGCAGCTGTCGTGGGCGAGCCTGGAGCTGTCCTGATGCCCAAGGATGTGGTAAGAAGCAGAACGCGAGAAGACAAACGCGTGGGAGAACCGCAGACCGTTGAGGGATGTGGGCCTCTCGGAGGCACCATCGGGAAGCTCGGAGACCACCCCGTGCCATCATTGGGGGGGTCTAGGGTCTTCTTGGAAGCACGACGGGGCCACCTGGGACCACCTTGGACTGCAGTGTGTAATCTTGGACGTCACCTCCGTCTATCCACGACCGCCTTGGGCCCATATAGGAGCTCGACCACAAGAAACCTTCCGCAAGAAACCCAACCCTGAGACCCCAGGACGTGCATCTATTTTTGGTGTGGGGACGTCACGCTTTACATAGCAGAACAAATTAAAACCAAGAAACCCAGGGCACCCTGCAGGCAGACAGGGTCTTTCTTGGCATGGGTTCCTCAGTACTAACAAGGGGGACGCCCAAATCTTAGTCTTCCTCTACCGTGGCGGGCGGAACCCTCGAGTCCTCGCGGGCGACGGCATGGGCGTCTCATTGACCCTGTGTTGGCCTTGCGGGTCTGCAAGGCAATCATTTATTAAAACAACTACAGAGCAACAATATGGGGGGACAATTTCAAACATAGTTGTTTTGCCCAACGTTGTAGCGCGCATGTCTTACAGTTGTATATATATATATACATACATGCACATGCAAATAACATACACACACGTGTATTTACATATATACATATATATAAACATGTGTATGCCAATGCGTATACATAGATATATACAGATGCAAATGCCATACACATGTGTGTATACAAATATAACATACACATGTGTATATCAACATCCAGGGAGGATGATGATGAGGAGGAGGATGAGGAGGAGGAGGAGGCGGGAGGAGGAGGAAGGAGGAAGAGGAGGAGGAGGGAGGGGAGGGAGGAGGGAGGAGGAGGAGGAGGAGGAGAGCGGAGTCGAGGGGGAGTCTAGGGGGAGGAGTGAGAGCAGGAAGCACTGTAGGGAAGAGAGGGCCAAGGAACGAGAAGGGAGGGATGAGAAAGGTGACGGAGGGAGGAGGAGAAACAACATCGTCGTCGACGCCTCCCTCAGTGTGTGGCGTGGTGTTGCGGTGCTTCAGGGAGCAGGAGCGGACGGTGTCTTCGTCGTCGTCGGTCGTCGGTCGTCGTCGTCCCCCCCCATCCCATCTGGGGGGAGGGAGGGGCCCGAAAGACCCTGGGACCCATCCCATCCGGAGGGGGGGGGGGGCTGGGCCTGGAGCCAAGGATCATATATCCATCGCATCGTCCCTGTCTCCGTGGAGTATTTCCAGCAAGGACAATAAACAAATGATTATTCGGCGGCGAACAACTTGCAGTCGGAATCCGGGTGAAGGAGAGGGGGGGGTCATCATGTTTAAACCAAGTTCTAGACATTGTGTGGTGATGTGGCAAGACAAGACGTGGCATAACAAAGCGAGACGAGAGATGACATCCGACAAATCGGCTGGAGATGGCCCCAGACGGTGTCCACGACGACCCCTATAGAGGCCTGGAAGACGCCGCGAGAGGCCAGGAGGAGGAGGAAGAGGAGGAAGAGGAGGAGGAGGGGGGGGGGAAGAGGAGGAGGAAGAGGAGGAGGATGAGGAAGATGAGGAGGACGAGGAGGACACAAGAGTACTCCTTTTTCAGCAGGCTTGCGGCCCTCCGCCGACCCAGCTCGAGGGGCGTTTCCAGAAAGCGCGCGATCGCGCTCCAACAGCCAGAGGGCGCGTGGATCGCAGAAGATAGCCTGAAGTCGGGCGTGTCCCTCTACAGGAGGAATATTCTCTTGCACAGGGTGTCCAGAGCTCCGACCACTTTACTCCACGTCGCACCCCCCCCCCCACGCGTCCCCAGCGCCAGAATGGGACCCCCGCGCCGTGGCTCTCTGCCCCAGCCCCCCGCGTCCCCAGCGCCCCAGCGGGAGCCCCGCCCACTGCCCCCTCCGCCACGAACGCTTTATTCCGCGTCGCACACCCCCTCCCCCCCCCCCCGCGTCCCCAGCGCCAGAGTGGGACCCCTGCGCCGTGGCTCTCTGCCCCGAGCCCCCACGCGTCCCCAGCGCCCCAGCGGGAGACCCGCCACCTCCCCCCTCCCCCCCCGTCGCCAGCGCCCCAGTTGGACCCCGGCCCCGTGGCACTCTGCCCCAAGCCCCGCCCAATGCCCCCTCCGCCCCGACCATTTTATTCCGCGTCGCGACGCACACCACCTCCCCACCCTCCCCCCCCGCGTCCCCAGCGCCCGGTAAGAACCCAGCCCAGTCACCCCGAGCCCCCCCGCGTCCCAAGCGCTCCAGTAGGAGCCCCGCCCACAGCCCCCTCCGCCACGAACGTTTTCTTCCGCGTCGCACGGCCCCCACCGTCCCGCCCCCACGATCGTTCTCTCCTCCCCGCCCGCCCAATGCACGCCGCCCCCCCTCCGCTCCGACCATTTTATTTCTGCGTCGCACCGCCCCCGCCGTCCCGCCCACCCGAGACTTCTCCGATTTCTCGCCCCCTCTCTCTATCCCCCCCTTTCCTCCTCCTCCTTCTCCTCTTCTTCTTCCTTCTCCTCTTCCTCTTCCTCCTCCGACTCCTCCTCTTCCTCCTCCTCCTCCTCCTCCTCCTCCTCCTTCCCCCTCCGTTTTGTGCAAGAGCCATCGCACCCGTGCCACTTGTTCAACAATTATCCCAGTGCGACCCTACCTAGGAGTTGGAGCCCCTAGGAAAGCAGCATTAGTAGTAACAGTCAAGCTAAGCTAAAGCTAAGTTAAAACTAAAGCTAAAGCTAAGCTAAAGCTAAGCTACAGCTAAGCTAAATATAAGCTAAATCTAAAGCTAAACTACAACTACAGCTAAACTACAGCTGAGCTAAAGCTCAGCTGAAGGTAAGCTACAGCTAAGCTAAATCTAAGCTAAAGCTAAGCTAACGCTGAGGTAAAACTAAGCTACAGCTAAGCTAAAGTTAAGCTAACGCTGAGGTGAAGCTAAGGTAAATCTAAACTCAAGCTAAGCTAAATCTAATCTAAAGCTAAGCTAAAACTAAGGTAAAGCTAAGTTCAAGCTAAGCTAAAGCTAAGGTAATTCTAAGCTAAAGCTAAGCTAAAGCCAAGCTCAAGCTAAATTAAAGCTAAGCTAAAGCTAAGCTAAATCTAAACTACGATGAGATAAGCTAAGCTAGACTAAGTTAAGCTAAGCTGCAGCTAAACGAAGCTAACATGAAGCTAGGCTAAGCTAAGCGAAGCTAAGTTAATCTGAGATAAGCAACGCTAAACTAAAGAGACGTAACTAGGGAAACCGCGGGGCGGGGACTGGGGGAACCGCCCGGAGCGTTTTACACTGCCCGGCCCCTTTAAGCAAACAAAGTAAGAACCCTCTAGGCAGTGCCTAGGTAGGGAATAATCTAAACATAGTCTGGGGACGATGGTTTGACTATTGTGGGCTATGTTGGAGCATTTTCTGAATAGTTTGAATTTGTCCTTCAAAATCTGCCTGTAGGGGCCATGCCCGACCCAAAGATAGCCGCCTGTGCCGCCTCGTCGCACTCTGAGGGCGGCGCCCCAGACGGAGGCCAAAGCTGCGGCGGGCCGAGCAAGCCTCTCGGCTGCAGCCGTCGAGGTGCGTCAGGGTGCCGTCGAGGTGCACGGGCGAAGGGGACGCCAGTTCCCAACAGGACCCGACCGTGTCGACCCTCCCCCATCCGTCCTCCCCCGCCCCTGGTACGGACCCGACCTTATCGACCCTCCCCCGTCCAAGCTCCCCCGCCCCTGGTACACCTACCACACGGGCGCGCTCTGCTGCAATTTCGAGCCCGGGCATACCGATCCACGGTCATGACAAAGGCGCGCGAGTCACGCGCTCAAAGGTGCAAATCCATCCACACGTATCAACATTGTTCACCAACGACAGATGAACCGCCGTGTCGATACAAACCAATATCACAGCTGCGTCAACACATGTGGTGCTGACCACGGACCACTACGCAAGGGGACAACTCTGCGCAATCTGGCTAAGATGGTGAACGATTGCAACACGCAGTGCTGACATAATGCAATGTTGGCCAACTCCGGCTCTGCATTCACCTCCCCTCCTCCTCTTCCAGTGAGGCAGGGAGACAGAAAGATACAACCTCAGCAGCATCTCTCGCGCATAATCCACTACAATGTCTACAAACACACGTGCTCGCTCCCCACGGTCGAATGTCTCGCTCTCGGGTCGGGCGAAAGGGGGGGATAGCAAAGGGGGGGTTTGAGAATCAGCTCACGTAGCTGATTTTCCCGGCGCCTCCCGGCGCCGGGAGCGGCCATGTATCGAGGAATTGGCCCCTCGGTGAGGCCGAAACCAGCTGCATGTAGCAAATTTCGTAACCCCCCCTTTCCCAATCCCCCCCTTTCGCCCGGCCCGACGCTCGCAAGCTCGGAATGAATTGAGCCTGCGATTGTTGCGAGGCTGATCCTTCCGCCGTGCCACTAGCAGCACAAGTCAACGCACCTGAGTCAAAAACAAACCACCTGCGCAAAGGTCGCTCATATGTTGAACGAAGGATTGCAAAAAAACCCAGGATTGCAAAAAAACCCAGGATTTCAAAAAAACCCAGGGTTTTTTTGCAATCCAGGGTTTTTTTGCAATCCAGGGTTTTTTTGCAATCCTTTGCGCAAAGGTCGCTCATATGTTGGTGGCTTTGCCAACAATGATCGTTTGCCTGTGCCGATCCATGAATGCTATCTGCCTGTGCTTTCGTGGGGTATTTGTGGCGTTTTTTTTATGGTTCGTCGCAAATCCCCCTGTAGGGAGACAGGCCCGACTAAAAACGAGCCCTGGACGGAGCTCGAGCGCCACAGCGAGGCGGTGAGCAACAAGACGGGGATTTCTGACGAAAATTAAAAATACCGCCAAAATAGTCCAAAAATAGCCCCAACATAGTCCGGGGACTATTTTTTGAGTATTCTTTGGCCTTCTTGGGGCATTCGTGGGGTGCTTTTTATTTTTCGTCGCAAAACCCCCTGTAGGGGGACAGGCCCGACTTAAAACGAGCCCTGGACGGAGCCCGAGCGCCACAGCGAGGCGTCGGGGATCATCTGACCCGGGTCAATCCAGACCCGGGTCAGTCAGGCCTTGCAGAATCCTGCAAAATCCTGCAAGATCCTGCACCCAAGCCCGGGTCAATGCGAAGGATCCTGCAAGATCCTGCATGAGCCTGCTCCCAAGCCCGGGTCAATGCGACCCCGGCCCTGCAGGATCCTTAAGGGGGAAAACAAACCTACCTCGCTTTTGACCACCCTCGCTTCCAAGAGTTACCAAACGATGCCAAATTGCAGCATGTACTGGTCAGGCCGCTTGACGAGGAGGTGCGTGGTATGGCTTGGTTTTGCCTGGAAGCGAAAGCGGGGTAGGTAATTAACGTTCTGAATCCTGCAAGATCGGGCGCTCTGGCTGACCCCCGTCTCAAGGCTCCCGAAGGCGGCGGTGGGCAACGAGAGCCCCGGGAGCCACAGCGGCACGGCTGGGCACGCACGCGCCTCCGGAGGCGCCGAGGCCAGCAGCAGGACGCGCGCGTGCGTCTGTGTGGGAGCTCTGCTGCCGCTCGTGAGAGGAGCGAGCGTCTGCCGTGAGTAGAGGAGGAGGAGGAGGAGGACGAGGAGGAGGAGGAGGAGGAGGAGGAGGAGGAGGAGGAGGAGGAGGGGGATCTTCGACGACACATTTAAAACATACCCCCCAAAATACCCCCCAAACTGGTCAAAACAAAAACTAAACAAAAATAGTCCCCAGACTATTGTTGGGGTATTTCTTATTCTTCGTCGAAGACCCCCCTGTAGGGGGACACGCCCGACTTAAGAGTAGAGGAGCGCGCTCCACTACTCGCAAAGTAGCCGCTCGCAAACGGCCTGGATCCGCCGCGGGGGATCTACAAAAAATACATCGAAGCAGACAATGTGTGTTTGTCGGACGTCTGCGAACAGGCACTTTGCGAGTAGTGGAACGCGCTCGGTGAGTGAGGCAGCAACCGTCGAATGCAGCAACAGCCTTAGGTAAACGAACAGTGACATAAACATAAAAACTCGGAGGTCCGCGCGGATTTCTCGGATCGGCGCCAGACACCCCTCCCTGGCGCGCCAGGGGCGGCGCTGGAGGCGCCGCCAGGGGGCCCCAGCGCCGATCCGAGAAATCCGCGCGGACCTCCGAGTTTTTATATTAATGTCACTGTTCGTTCCCCTACACCTGGACGTGAGCCCCGAAGGCTATCTCCTCGTCGGCACCGTGGCAACACATTGCTTTCGGCACGGGGTTGGCTTTGCTGACTCTTGCCATGGCATAAGTCGGCGGCGAGCGAAGGGGAGAAATGAGAAGGAGAAGGCCTTCTCAGGAGGCGGCCGGACTTCTCAGAAAACCTCGCGCCTTCCGAGAAGTTCTGAATGTCTTCGGGGAAGGCCGTGGGACTTCGGAGCCTTCTGAGAAGGCCATCTCCTTATCGCTCCCCCCCCCTCGCTCGCAACCGGATCAGAGTCGAAGCTGAGATGTCAACCGCTCCGCGATTTGCAATGATGGGGAAGGAGCCGACCAGAGCCGTGACAGGAGAAAGGGGCAGAGAGCCCGATGCGTGACAGGCGCAAGGTAACGCAAGCTTCCCCCAGATGGAGGAGGAGGTGGAGGAGGAGGAGGAGGAGGGGAGGAGGAGGAGAGGAGGAGGAGAGGAGGAGGAGGAGGAGGAGGAGGAGCAGGAGGAGGGGAAGGAGGGGGAGGAGGAGGAGGAGGAGGAGGAAGGGCGTGAGCCCGATACAGGAGAAAGGGGCGACGATCTCATCCGGGGTCAGCTCCGCAGCCTGCATCGATCGGGAAGGAGCCGACCAGAGTCATGACGGGAAAAGGGCAGACATCGACGAAGACAAAACGCTATACACGTAAACTGTTGGCGCTCCGCGCGGATTTCTTGGGTCTGCGCCGGACCCCCCTCCCTGGCGCGCTCCGCGCGCCAGGGACGGCGCCGGAGGCGCCGCCGGGGGCCCAGCGCAGATCCAAGAAATCCGCGCGGAGCGCCAACAATCTATGTTTATTCCCAACCCTCCTTGGTTGGGTATTCGTTTTGAATAGAGCAGTGTGGTCTCCACTCCTTTCCGCCTCCCTCTTGCCTCCTCCTGTCTTGCCTGCGGGGGGCTGCGATCTGTGAAACTGTCGCCACTTTCGAGGCCTGCTGGGGGGCCCAGCACAGTGACGCCACACGCAGATTCAAATTAGACCTCGCCATCCCTGGGGGGGCTGCGATTTGCGAAACTGTCGCCACTTTCGAGGCCTGCTGGGGGGCCCAGCACAGTGACGCCACACGCAGATTCAAATTAGACCTCGCCGTGCCTGGGGGGCTGCGATCTGTGAAACTGTTGCCACTTTCGAGGCCTGCTGGGGGGCCCAGCACAGTGACGCCACACGCAGATTCAAATTAGACCTCGCCATCCCTGGGGGGCTACGATCTGTGAAACTGTCGCCACTTTCGAGGCCTGCTGGGGGGCCCAGCGCAGTGACGCCACACGCAGATTCAAATTAGACCTCGCCGTGCCTGGGGGTCTGCGATCTGTGAAACTGTCGCCACTTTCGAGGCCTGCTGGGGGGCCCAACACAATGACGCCACACGCAGATTCAAATTAGACCTCGCCATGCCTGGGGGGCTGCGATCTGTGAAACTGTCGCCACTTTCAAGGCCTGCTGGGGGGCCCAGCACAGTGACGCCACACGCAGATTCAAATTAGACCTCGCCATCCCTGGGGGGCTGCGATCTGTGAAACTGTCGCCACTTTCGAGGCCTGCTGGGGGGCCCAGCGCAGTGACGCCACACGCAGATTCAAATTAGACCTCGCCGTGCCTGGGGGTCTGCGATCTGTGAAACTGTCGCCACTTTCGAGGCCTGCTGGGGGCCCCAGCACAGTGACGCCACGCGCGGACCCAAAGTAGACCTCGCCATCCCTGGGGGGCTGCGATCTGTGAAACTGCCGCCACTTTCGAGGTCTGCTAGGGGGCCCAGCACAGTGACGCCACACGCAGATTCAAATTAGACCTCGCCATCCCTGGGGGGGCTGCGATCTGTGAAACTGTCGCCACTTTCGAGGCCTGCTGGGGGGCCCAGCACAGTGAGGCCACACGGAGACCCCAATTAGACCTCGCCATCCCTGGGGGGCTGCGATATGAGATCCCCGCTTTCGAAGTGGCTAGGGGTGCTCAGGGGTTGTAACTAATCAGCTTTATCTAGTCCTTGTCCTGTAGACAGTATCCTGCGAGTCTCCCGAACTCCGTCTGCAGACATATGTAACCCTCGCTCCGTCATCGCCCCCCTTATAAAGTGTCCTAAGCTATTTGCGCCCCGCGTTTGCGCAGGAGTTGGGTACGTCGCCAGGGTATTGTGTACTTGTTCTTCTTCGAAGAAAGCCTGACGGCGTGCCCGTGCCTTGGTCAGGAGACGAGGAGGAGGAAGAGGGGGAGGAGAAGGAGCAGGAGGAGGAGGACTGAGGAGGAGCAGGAGCTGCAGGAGGAGCAGGAGGAGGAGGAGGAGGAGGAGGAGGAGGAGGAGGAGGAGGAGGAGCGAGGAGGAGGAGGAGCGAGGAGGACTGAGGAGGAGCAGGAGGAGGAAGAGGGGAGGAGGAGGAGCGAGGAGCAGGGAGGAGGAGCAGGAGGAGCAGGAGGAGAGGAGGAGGAGGAGGAGGAGGAGGAGGAGGAGGAGCAGAAGGAGGAGGAGGAGGAGGAGGAGGAGGAGGAGGAGGAGGAGGAGGAGGAGGAGAGGAGGAGGAGAGGAAGGGAGGAGGAGGAGGAGGAGGGATGAGGAGGAGGAGGAGGAGGAGAGGAGGAGGAGGAGGAGGAGGAGGAGGAGGAGGAGGAGCAGCGAGGAGGACTGAGGAGGAGGAGCGATGAGGAGGAGGAGGAGGAGGAGCAGGAGGAGGAGGAGGAGGAGGAGGAGGAGGAGGAGGAGGAGGAGGAGCGAGGAGGAGCGAGGAGGATGTGAGGAGGAGCCAGGAGGAGCGAGGAGGATGTGAGGCAGGTCGGCCAAATGATCCGTAGGGTGGGTCAGGGCCCGAAACACTGCGCCGGCCCCCCCCGCTTTCCAGGCGTGTGAGTCTTGGTGGCACTGCTGTTACCAGCGGTGGACAAACCTCCCTTCAGTAAGCCACCCTTTAGTGACAAACCTCCCTTCAGTAAACCACCCTTCAGTAAACCACCCTTTAGTAACAAACCACCCTTCAGTAAACCACCCTTCAGTAAACCACCCTTTAGTAAACCACCCTTCCGGCGGTGGAGAAACCTCCTTTCAGTAAACCACCCTTTAGTGACAAACCAAGCATCGCGGACTGCGCGTTGCTTTCGGCAGTGGACATGCCTCCCTTTAGTAGACCTCCCTGTAGTGAGAACGGCCTGGGACCGAAACCGACGGACTCGGACCCGCAGAAATGACGGCCGCGACGCCCTCTCGCGAACCGAAAACGGCCAATTCGCTAATCGACGTGTCGGGGTAGGAGTTCTGTCCACCCCCGATGTTAGGTCGGGCATGCCCTCCTGCAAACGGATTTTGGAAGACAAGCAAACAAGAGTCGAAACATGATCAAAAATGGTCAGGAATAGTCGACAAACCGTCCCCCGGACTATTCTTGAACCATTCTCGAGTACTCCTCCTGTAGAGGGGCACGCCCGACGTAGCACTCCTCCAGGTGGCACACCAGATTGCTCTGGTGGCGCTGCGGGCCAGCGGATCGAGCGCTCAGGGCCCACGGATCGAGCGATCACTGAGAGGGTGTGCAAAGATAGACGTTACACAATTTTGCAGGTCCGTGGACGCAAGCACGCAGAGGCGCTGGTCGAGCAACGGGAGGGGAGCTGCAGAGGCGAACTGCGGCGCGAGGGTTACACGCCGGTCGGACGAAGTAGGTAGAAACATGAAGTAGGGAGGCGGATATAGTAGATTGGGTCCAGGTCCTCCCAGAGAATCCGCCGGCCCCCTTGTGGGGCCACCAGGCTGTAGGCGCGGATTCGCAGTTTCCAGTACCAGTTGTAGCTTGTAGTTTCCAGTGTTACAGTTCTGCTTCTTGCTGGTTACTGTAACTAATTGACTGACCGCGCGAGGGGGGGGGAGGCCCAAACGGGACTTGTAGCACCCCCTGGGCGCGTTGTCTGAATTGCTGGGGGGGCTCGAAATCGACACCCCTCACGCAGATCCGCGGGGTCAGGGTCCAAAAACACATGGGATTTACCACATTTCTGAAATTCGGTGCCACCACTCACGCAGATCCGCGGGGTCAGGGTCCAAAAACATAGGGGATTTGCCACATTTCTGAAATTCGGTGCCACCCCTCACGCAGATCCGCGGGGTCAGGGTCCAAAAACACATGGGATTTGCCACATTTCTGAAATTCGGTGCCACCCCTCACGCAGATCCGCGGGGTCAGGGTCCAAAAACACATGGGATTTGCCACATTTCTGAAATTCGGTGCCACCCCTCACGCAGATCCGCGGGGTCAGGGTCCAAAAACACAGGGATTTGCCACATTTCTGAAATTCGGTGCCACCCCTCACGCAGATCCGCGGGGTCAGGGTCCAAAAACACATGGGATTTGCCACATTTCTGAAATTCGGTGCCACCCCTCACGCAGATCCGCGGGGTCAGGGTCCAAAAACACATGGGATTTGCACATTTCTGAAATTCGGTGCCACCCCTCACGCAGATCCGCGGGGTCAGGGTCCAAAAACACATGGGATTTGCCACATTTCTGAAATTCGGTGCCACCCCTCACGCAGATCCGCGGGGTCAGGGTCCAAAAACACATGGGATTTGCCACATTTCTGAAATTCGGTGCCACCCCTCACGCAGATCCGCGGGGTCAGGGTCCAAAAACACAGGGGATTTGCCACATTTCTGAAATTCGGTGCCACCCCTCACGCACATCCATCGCAAGGCGTGGTAACCCAAACTGCGAGTACTCCCTCGGCCCTTTAATCCCAAGGTGTGGTAACCAAGCTCGTAAACCATACACGTCTTACCAATCGCCCTGTGTGGTAACCCCTCTTGTGATCAGTTGGTTTTGCCGATTGCGAATCGGCCTCGCATGAAGTTCCGATACTGCTGCACGACAGCGCCAAAGCCTCATGACTTAGCTCTTCCATGGCCCATTCTCCGAGAGAGGGGGCCGGCGGAAGGGGGCGAAGCCCTTACGGATAACAGAACAGAGCAACAGCAAGCCGATTCTTGAAGTAGGAAGGCGCTTGAAGTAGATTGGGATCTAGGAATCCGAAAATTCCTACTTTCAACGACCGGCGTGTATGTTGCTCCCATCATGCTTAAAGAGCACATCCCAGAAATAACTTCGAACACCTGGAAAAGCATCGAATCATTGTCGAACGAATATCGCCTCCGACAGAGGGCTCGCCACGCGAAAACCCTCCAGTGTTGGTACTTTCTTGGTGCTCGAAATTCTTTCTGGTGAGCAAGGCTGAAGCATCGAAACATTGTCGAACGAGTATCGAACACCCAGAAAAACATCGAAACATTGTCGAACGAGTATCGAACATGGAATAATTTCGAACAAGGCTGAAGTAGGTTGGAACATCATAACAGTACGCCAGAGAAGAACTCCGATCAATAGTCGATGGTGATATTTCGGTGGCAACTCGTGGGGGCCGACGCTAGTCGACGCTAAATCGACGAGCATCGACGCTAAATCGATGCTAATCGGCGCTAAATCGGCGCTATCTCGTCGACAGCACACGCTAATCGACGCTAAAGACAGAATTAACAGGGTACGCCAGGCTCCCATGATTTGCTACCGAACCATAGAAGAACCCCAATCAGTGTAGTCGATGGTGATATCGATGGTTAGATCGTTTAAGTGAGATGGATCGTGAGATCGATCATGAGATCGATGGTGAGCTCAATCGTGGGATCACGACATCGGCCCAAAACCAGCAAACGGGAACCCGGAACCCAGAACGGGGAACCCGGGAACCCAACCAGCCACCGAAATCGGCCTGGGACTTTCGCCAAATCTTTCCATATCCGCTAGGACCTCTTCAGTGCAAGCACTGATTGGGGAATGATCGCGGCCTGGGCTGTGCAATGGCTGTGTCGTGCGTCATGCGTGCTGCAAATACGTGGGCGTGAGCGAGACAATATGCGACCGGCTTGCCCTGCCGGGCTGCCGGCAATTAATACACTGTCCGTTGATTGGATGGATCTGGAGAGAGCCTTCGTTAGCGGATTCGCCGCTGCTCAGCTTGGCCCAAGCCGTGGCTAGGAGAAATAGCATCGAGCCTTCGATCTTCTCCAGCCAGTGCGTAATCAACAAACTGAACTTTGCAGACCGCACCTCTGCAGCACAATGGCTATGCTGACGAAGGAAGAGAGAGGAGAGGCATCGTCAATAATCGATGGTCAGTCAGCACATACATGGGGCGGAAAGTCGCACGACTAGACGTGCAGCGCAAAGTGGTCCTTGATATTATCATCCAAGAGGGCAACCACCTTCAGATTGATCTCCTTGTCCTTTGCATTCGTGACAAGGATGTCGTCATGGGAAAGTGTAGCAATTGCTTCCTGCGTGCCAGCTGAATGCCAGAACTTAAGGACTTGAGCCCTACTCGCTTTGTCCTTCCCGCTCGCCGAGTGTATACCGTAGACCTGCACTCGGAGACAATCCTCGTTAGCTGGCACTAGTCCATCTTCAGTCGGCGTCTTGGTGGAAATCCAACACTCCACATTTGGCCAAAATCGCTGGTTGTAGATCCGCTCGTACAAAACTATTACCTTGCACCCAAGGAAGATAAAAGGCAATATGTTCTCCAAAATCATCCTGAACTCCTGCTCCTCCTCATCGGTGCGTCCACCACCGTGCCATTGAGGTGCACATACCCAATCGATCCATAAGAACTTGATCGAAGGGTTGTTTTCCAGGACCTCCTGCAATTTACGCAGTTTGACGCACTCTGGATCGAAATGCTCGGGCACGGGCCAACGATGGGAAACGGCTGCCATCTCACCGGCAAACTGCCCGGATAAAACGCCATCGAGAGTCATGTGCTTTTTGACCAGCATTCCTGAATCACGACACTCCTGATGACGTGGGAGGGGCGAGTCCGCCGGCCTACGCATGACTTCGTCCACTGGGATGAACCAGAAGTCCATGCTCTCAAGAAGACCAGCGGGGCCATCCTCTGTCTCCTCGGCAGAATCCTCTGTCTCCTCGGCAGAATCGTTGGTCTCCTCGGCAGAGTCGTTGGTCTCATTGGCAGGCGAGGCATCTGGCTTATGCCTTCCAAGCCGTCGCCTTGTCAAGCATACCAGGGCAGACATCGTGCCACAACCCAGGAAGGTGCTGATAACGATGACGATGATGATGGCGACGGATACCGTCGATGCCTCGGAGCCTTGCTCCTGCTCCGCCATCGGTGAGTTGTAGGTGGTGGTGGTGCCGCCTGGCGTGCTGGAGCTTTTGGCTGTGGTGCTGCCTGATGTAGCGGAGCTCGTGGCAGTCTCGGTGGTGGTGCTTCGTGAGCTGGTAGAGTTTGTGGCCGTCTCGGCGGCGGTACTGCCTGACGTGGTGGAGTCCGTGGTTGCATTGGTGGTGGCAGTGGTGACCCACGTGACGGTCGTGACGGAGCTCGTGATCGTCCAAGTGCAGCTTGGTAGCGATGGGCAGTCTACATTGCCCGCCGAAACGTGCCAGTCCCATTCCCAGTCGCTATTCATGGTTACTGCCATCTCCATCTGAGCACACGTCACGTCGCCGCCACTTTCGGCCAAGTCTGGGTGGGACCAACTGCCCCCAACCCATGCCAGTTCTTGATTATAGTATCTGGCGAATTCTAGATTGTACCCATTTGCTCCGACAGATGTCCAGGTGCAGCTGGTCGCCACCGTCCTGCCGATCAGCTGGAACACCATGAGCGAGGTGAGCAACGGTGCGGACAACGCCGAGACCATGTCCGATGAAGCACCGGCGCCGAAATCAGAAGGTCCCGTGTTCGGGTACAGCGGGCCACGTTGATCAACCGAGATCTGAATGTCGAGACAGGCTGGAACTAGAAGAAGAAGAAAAATAATAATAAGAATAATACTAGCAATAAGAAAAATACTAAGAATAAGAAGAACAATGATAAGAATGATAATAATAATACTAATAATCATCATCATAATAATACTATCAATAATAATAACAACAAGCACACTGCATAAACCTAAACTTTTGGCGCCCCGCGCGGATTTCTTGAATCTGCGCTGGGCATCCCCTCCACGTCGCGCGGAGCGCGCCGAGGGCGGCGCCGGAGGCGCCGCCAGGGGGCCCCGGTGCAGACCCGAGAAGTCCGCGCGGAGGGCCAAAAGTTTATGTTTACCCATCGGTCGGAAGAAGTAGGTAGAAACATAAAGTAGGAATGCGTTGGAAATATATTGGGTTTCCGCCCGCCTCCTGAAGAGGAAGGAAGAGGGAAAACCACTCGACTTTTGAAGTAGGAAGGCGCTGAAAGTAGATTGGAATCTGGGAATCCAAAAATACCTACTTTCAACGACCGGTGGGTACGGCGGTTTTCGTTTTCGAGACGGGCTGGAACCAAACTAGGCTGAGCCCAAACGGCCACGGTTGAGGAGGGTACTGGAGGCGAGCGATTTCGCCAAGACCTTGGCAGGACCAAATCGGGTCCCGCCACGGCCCAATCAGAACTTCACCATGACCTCGCCAGGGCGCTGCAGGCATCGCACCAGGACCCGACCAGGACCCGCAAGGGCCCCCAGTAGGGCCTTGAACAGCGCGGGGATCCCACCAGCATGATGCAGGCCCTTGCCAGAATCCGAATAAGGGGGCCCGCCAGGAGCCTTCCTGGGTCCCGCCAGCGCGTTCCCTGTCGAATGATGTCCCCATGAATCTTACTGTTGCAACGAAAAGACGGGTCAAAACATCCGCCGCCACCGACGTGCAACAGAGACGATACCTCCCTGGGAGCACCAGGAATTTGTGCATCCACTGGCTCCTCGAGACACTCTTGGCGTTGTCCAGGCCCCGTATGGAAAACCTCCTCAGGCCCCCCGACTCCGTACTTATGACAAGGTCCGGAGAGCCCAAAATTGAATCGATAAGTCGAATCGGCGATCGAACTTAATCGGATCGGCGGAAATCGGCATCCAAGTCGGGAGGAATCGGATCGGCGGAAATCGGCAGAGAGACAATCTCTCAGTGATGTCTCGGAATCCGAGTCGGAATCCGACATCGAATCGGAATCCGAGTCCGTCGAGATCGAATCGAGTCGACTTGGAGGAATCGAGGCGAGCCGCGCAAGACCCTGGGCCACGCGCTGCGGTGTAGACAGCACCGCCCCCAACCCTCCTCCTCCCCCTCCTCCTCCTCATTCCCCTCCTCCTCCTCCTCCTCCTCCTCCTCCTCCTCCTCCCCCTCCTCCTCCTCCCCCTCCTCCTCCTCCTCCCCCTCCCATTTTGGCTCAAGCGATCGCATTGGCCGCCGCCGTCCGCCCCGCGCGATGGCTCGGCCTAGAGGGGCCCCCTCGGCTGCGGTGGACGGCGTCGCCCTGCTGGCGGCCGCCGTCCGCGCCGCTGTGGAGGCGAAGGCGCCGCGCCGCACTGTGGCGGCGGTGGCTGGCGCTGTGGCGGCGGTCGCGCTCCGTGCGCGGACCGCGCCACCCGCGCCGCCGCCCGCCGCTGGTGCTGCGCGCGCCGAGGATGCGGATGCGCCCCCGCGCAGCTCCGCCGCGAAGGTCGAGCGCCGCCGACGCCGCCGCCAGCGCCTTGCGGCGCGGCGGGCGGCGGAGCGCGGCGGGGCGGCCAACGCGGCCGACGCTGGGCGAGGTGGCGCTGCTGACGGTGCCGCCGCCGCTGCTGGCCTCGAGCTCGTGCAGCTCCCCATGGTCGTCGACGTCGTCGACGACGAGTGGGCTGACGAGCTGCCGCCGCGCCGTGCGCGGAGGCAGCTGCGGCGCACCGACACGGTGGCGGCGGAGGACCCGCGTCCTCCTGCCGCTGCCGTGGCCGCTGCGGCGGCGGGCTGCGGCAGCGCGGCGGGCATGCAGGCGTTCCTCGAGGAGGCCTTCGCCGCGGGCGTGTCCCCCGCCGACGCCGCGGCCCTGGTTGCTGGGGGCCTCCTTCCGCGTGATGGTCCACGCGGCGGTGGTCCGAGGCCCGGGGCGGCCGGCCGCGGGAGGAGCAGCGGGGGGGGGCGGTAGGGGCCTCGCCGCTACGCGTGCAGGGCCCTCGCCCCTTCCCCCTCCCGCGGGCATCGTGGTGCTCGTCGGCATGGTCGTGCTCGTCATCATGGTCGGGGGTCCTGCCCCGTCAGGACCCCCGTGCGCCCGCGCGCGTGGGCGCGCGCGCGGGCTTCGGGGGAGGCGGCACCGTCTCCTCTATGGCTCGTAGATCCTCCTCCCCCTCCTCCTCCTCATTCCCCTCCTTCCCTCCTCCTCCTGCCTCCCGAGGCCGAGGTGTGCTCGGGAGCTCCGCGCAACCCCGCCTCGTGCCCCGCGGACCGTGTGCTTCCTTGCAGCTTCCTGTGCGCGGCGGGGACTTATGCGTATCCACCGCCTGGGAACTGACGTCCTGGTGCCCCAGCGGGCGGTGGATATGGATTTATGTATATGTATATATATATATATTTATATTTACATGTATACATATACATATAAATGCATACATATATACATACATATACATGTACATATACATATACATATGTATATGTATGTGTATATGTATGTGTATATGTGTATATATATGTATATATGTATATATGTATGTGTATATATATAAATGTGTTAGCCCCCGGGGGGCCGAATCTATCCATATTCACCGCCTGCCGAGGCCTCCGAAAACTGATCCTCCGGGCGGTGGTCGTGTATACATTCCAACCTTGGATACCGGGCACACGAGCTCCGTTCACCACCTCCTTGGTCGCCCAAAGCCCATGTTACGTCCTGGGCCCCCAGGACTGTACAGGACAGTTTATAATACATGGAATTTAAGAAAATGTAGGATTCTTAATACATGATTAATGTATGAATGAATGTATGCATGAACGCATCGTTGTTTTTAATACTAAATCCCAGAAATTTGAATACATGATCCGCACGCGGAGCATGTATTAAACACGGCACTGTATAGAAGACCCTCTTCGTACACCCCCTAGCTACTCCCCGGCCCCCTCAGGCTCGGTGTAGCACTTCTTCTTGCGTCGACTGCCCATGCTGGCCCTCGCAGAGTTCACGGTGCAATCGCATGTCGCCCTCGGCTTGTCGGCTCGATCGGGTAGACAGTACAGTCAGGGCGTTGACCTAAGGAACCCTAAATAAGGCACGAGGTCCCTCTTTCCCATGAGGTCAACCTCGATTTCCGATGGAAAACCGCAGGAAAACCCGAGGCAAACTTCGAAACAATCAAGGAACACCGAGCCCCTCCCCAACGAAAAGGGTTCCTTCTTCAGGGCCCCGACGGTGTGCACGTGCCGTGAACGTCGCCGTGTGGACGTAGCGTCTGACCCCGCGCTCGAAAGAGGCTGCACCTCCACGTGACATCCACGGCGGAAGGGCCTGCGGTCATGGACGCGTGACGCATGGTCACAACCGTCGCCGTCGTCGTCGTCGTCGTCGTCGTCGCCGCCGTCCGCGACGTCGTCGAGGGGGTGGTGCCGCCATGCAGCTGGCCATCGCTCGGACGTCCATTCCCTGTGCTTTTTTTCGGTTTCGTGCGTGGTTTTGCCAAATGATCAAGGATGCTCCTCGATGGTCCTCGCCGCAGGAAAAACGCACACGTCCGAGCGATGCCAAGGCAAAGAGCAGAAGGATGGACAAACGCCAACAGACGTGTGGGCATGTTTTGCTCTCCCTGGGGGACGCCTCTGTTACCTGGGGGGGCCGGGGGAAGAGAAGCGAGGGGGGCCGTGATAATTGACGAGTCGGGGATGGACAGACCCCCCTTTAGTAAAACGTGGTTACGGTAGGTTCGCGCGGCGTCGGCGCGCGCAAAGGTTTTCGACACCACGTCGATCATTCAACCTTGAATCGATCGCGGCCCCGATCGTTCAAGGTTGAATTCCGTCGGGTCCAATGGCGTAACTGTGTTCCTCGGTGCTTCCGCGTCGCAGAATTCAACCTTGAACGCCTCCGCCAGCGTCGCTGGCGCGCCAACGCCGCGTGAACCTACCGTAAGTGAAAACGACCTGAGGCCCAAACCTGGCGGGCGCAAGCCTGGAAAATCACGGCCGCGGCGCCCTCTCGAGAACCGAAAACGGACAATTCACGAATCGACGTGTCACTGTTGGGGGTTCTGTCCGCCCCCGATACAACGACGAACGACAGCGTCGTCCTGACGCCTCTGGAATCCTCGAGATCTCCTTGGACGCCCCGAGGGAGCGAGAACCCCCACGCAGACCCGCGGAATGTTCCCTCAACGGGCGCTCGCCAGCCCAGATCCGACCTCTACCCTTATGTCGGGCGTGTCCCCCTGCAGGGGGATTTTTTGACGAAAAATAAAAGATGGGCCAAAAAAACATCCAAAAGGGTCAAAATATTAAAAAGATAGCCCCCGGACTATGTTTGGACTATTTTTGGATTATTTCTGGGGTATTTTTACTGTTTCGTCGAAAATCCCTCTGTAGGGGGACAGGCCCGACTTAACCCTAGATGAGTCGAGGGAGAGTTGCGCCTGCTTTGAATGCACATGACGTTCTGCAGCGCTGCAGAAACGGTCAACGATTTTGATCGTTTGGCAGACCTGCTCATATCAGGAGGGGAAAACACACACAGACACAATGAATCGTCGATTCCCCCGAAAATATGGGAAACGATGGGAAGTGGGGGGAAAGACAAAACCCCAGAGAATATGGGACAATATGGGGAATCCTTTTAGTTGTGCGTATTTATTTGTGTGTCCCGCATTTCTCCCTGTTACTTGTGACTTACCATATGGGACTATGCTCTGTGTGGGGAAAATAAATACACACAAATAACAATATGGGAAAATATGGGAGAATATGGGAAAGACAAAAACCCAGAGGATATGGGAGAGTATGGGACGATATGGAGAATCCTGTTACTTGTGTGTATCTATTTGTGTGTGTCCCAGGGCCCCTTCGTCATACTCCTGTGCGCGGTGCTGCACCGCCACGGTGACCACCGAGGCCAACGACTTCTCTTGTGCTTGACCAGGCGTGCTGACATATCGCGGGCGGGCCGGCAGAGCGCGCGTGCCTCCTCCTCTTCCTCCTCCTCCTCCTCCTCCTCCTCTACAGTCGGGGCGTTGAACTAAGGAACCCTAAATAAGGAGCGAGGCCCCTCTTTCCCTTGAGCTAAACTTCGATTTCCCATACAAAAGCCTAAGGGAAACCCGAGGCAAAGTGTAACACAATCAGGGAACACCGAGCCCCTCCCCAACGAAAAGCGTTCCTTCTCCAGGGCCCCGACTGTATCTTGTGTTTGACCACGCGTGCTAAAATATCGCGGGGGGGCTGGCAGAGCGCGCGTGCCAGGATCCTCCGTGGACTATGCATCCCACCAGCTCTCTGGCTGCAGGTTGCCTAGAGCGGTTCTGCTTCCAACCCTCCTCTTCCC